CACGCATCATCAAAGAAAAAGGATGTTGAAGACTGTTCCGCTTGGTACACCAAGACAGTACACTAGACACTAGACAGTGGCTCAGCTGAACTGTTGAATATGCGACTGCACAGTAGAAGTCCCACTCATGTGCCTCTGTTGACCAAGTGTCAAGTACGCCTACCGTGGGCCTGGGAACACTGAGACCGGATCATGAATAAATGGAAGACAGTGAACCAGGATTTCTTATTTATCATATCGGTGGTCGTGTCAGGGCATGCAGTCTTCCAGGTGAACAGTTGCCCTCTCCCTGTACAACAGGCTAGTGATGGCGGTATTATGCTTTGGGGGAAGTTCTCATAGGCAGCTCTGGGACTCTTAATTGTGATAGAACAGACCATGAAAGATGCTGACTGTCTGAACATAACTGCGGATCAGTTGTAACCTTACATGGTGTTTGTCTTCCGAACTGGAAATTGAATCTTCCAGTAGGACAACATCCCATGTCACAAGGCTCGAATTGAGTTGGAGTGGTTCGAGGAGCATAAGGATAGATTCCAATCAATGTCCTGGCCACTTAACTCACTGGAACTTAATGAGAAAGAGAACATTTGGGATATCATGGAGTGGCAGCTCAGAGATCAAGCACCACCAGAATATCATGACTTTGCTAGACCGCTGCTTAGATATTTGGTACTACTCATCTCCAGTCATCTAGCAAGAACTTATGGTTCTAAGCCAAGGGAGGTGTAGCTATTTTGCAGGCCAAAGGTCATGCAACATGTTATTGAGTAGGTAGATGTTTATAATGTTTTGCCTCTTCAATGTATGCCACAACAGACTGCCACATTATTATTATTTTAGCCCATTGAGATGTACTGGAAGTTCATGGGTCATTTTAATAACAAAAATTTTAGACAAGAAATTGCGGTTTATTAATTCTGTTACCACATTGTAACATGAACTGTAAACTAATGAAATGATATTCTTAATGTTTCAGTGCTACATCATTAACCAAAATGAAAGTGAACAGTTTCCCATAAATAGTTTATGTTTATATAAGTTTCAAAATAGAATCTATTTTATGATGGAAATATTTGTTGTAAAACGCTGAATAATAGCTTGGTATTACTGGCATATGAACTTCGTAGATCGTCACATTTCTTCTTAGATATTGCAATAAGTTTGTTGTAAGTTTTTTTCAGTGTCACTTTTAAGGACTGCTGACTTTCTGCGTATGTAGGTTTTCTCACTGACAATTTTAAAATCTGTTTCTTTGAAAGAAATCTTACAGAAGAAGTAATCTAATGATTGTTTATTTCTTTCAGTTCAAAAATGTCATTGAAGTTTACAGTGTTACTACTGTAAAATTTGGACATATCTGATCTGTCAGATCTCAAAGTTGTCTGGCACAAATTGAGGAGTATCAGTATTTCTGCCAGTGTACGCAAGAAACCAGAAAAGCAGCAGAGATACCACTGCTGCCATCTGTTAATGCAGTACTTAACTAAAATACATACGAGTTGTGACACACACAAACACAAAAAAAAGTGACTGGTCCAATAAATCATTGTACTTACAGAATCAGTTCTCCGTGACATTATCACCTTCAAAGCAATCCCCTTCAGCATTCACACACTTCTACCTTCGGTTCTGCTATTGCTCGTAATGGTTCTGGAACGAGGTTTTTGGAAGGTCTTTCAGGAGATATTCCGTTTTTTCCTGAACCTCTTCATTTGAGATAAAATGGCTTTCCTTTTAGCAAGATTTAACTTTAGGAAATATAAAGAAGGCACATGGAGCCAAATCAGGTAAATAAGGAGGATGCCCCATCACAGTAATGCTTTTGCTGGACAGAAACTGCTTGACAGAAAGGGCCGTGTGAGCAGGTGCATTGTCCTTATGCAGCAGCCATCCATCACTCCACAACTGCAGCCTTTTTTTCCCTAATTATTTCACAAAGTCTTTTTAGTACTTCAGTGTAGTAGTGTTGATTAACAGTTGACCACTGGAAACCCACTCAATCATTACAATTCCATTAATGTTGAAGAAGACAATTAATATTGCCTTGAATTTTGATTTTTACATGTGTGTTTTGTCCCTTTTCCCTGAAAATTGCTTATGCCATTCAAACACATGTGCACAAGACAAAGTTTCATCTCCATAAGCCTCATTTAACATTTAAAATGTTTCCATGGCTGATTTCTTAAGTTTCACAAGAAACTTGATGTTGATTCGCTTTTTTACATTAGACATTTTTTTCTGGCAGAATGCAGTTACATGTTCACTCAATGTTGCAGTACTCCCAACTGGTATGATCGGTTAAGTCGAAACTGGTCGCATGGATAGAGGAGTTGCGTGGGATGACATCACCAAAACAGTTGCCAACTCCACTCTTTTTTCCAAGCTACACACTTAGTCTCATTTTTTGTGTCACGCCTCGTATATTAGTGGGTCTGCTGCAAAGATGATGGATGATTTTACAATTTTGTGAATGACCATAACTCAAAATTCTTATTTGAGTTGTGCCATATTGCAACCCATGATGAAAATTTAAGAAACTTTAGTATATTTGCAGTATAGTGAGGCAGATAGTCCTCATATTCTTAGTCTCAATCAATTAACAGTTAAAAATAATAAATTGTACATGCTATTTCTGTTTACTGCCAGCCTGACTGTAGTTAGTAAAGCTTGACTCTCATCTGTTGAGTTAAAGATCATATTCAGGATAAAGTGCGGATATTTCTGCCTGATGATTTAACAGAATTCAGCTTTCTCAACTTGGTAATGAAAACCAGAAGTAATCACTTTTGTAGTGTAGTCAGGTGGTCTATTGTGTAATAAATTAATGGAATATTTAGCTGAGTGGACCTCTATGCCAAACTAGTTTCTCTTTGATCTTATCATCAACTATGGCGTCATCTTTTCAGGTGTTCCTTTGAAGGATAAAAAATACAGTAGTTGAAGAAGGCATGCCATTAATGCAAACTATGTATCCAGATGTCTCATCATAGTTAAATTTAGTGTGTGTATTACAAGAGAAATGCACAGTTATAGTGTCATGCAAAAGTGGCATATCCTTATCTTCCTAGCTGTATATATATTCTGTAGTTTTTGAACATTTAGTTCTGCATTACATAAGTATTAACAAGTCTACACTCTTTTGACACTGCAAATTAGTAGTCTATCAGAATAAGTTTTTTTGCATTATTATCATTAGTTCTGTATTCATGCTTATTCTACATAAACAGTAATTTTTTAATATAAAAATTTTTGTTTTCAAACTCATTGCCTTAAATAATCATCACAGACAACTTTTTCACGATTTGCCTTATTCAATTCATCACATTCAGAAATGAGATAATTTTCTCAAGGGATAGTATAGAATAAATACTGACAAGCAAAGCGTATAGTAGTATTTTCCAGTAATGTGCTTTAACGCATTTGAATTGAGTTATCTAGATAATTGTAATGATTTAATAGTAGATATGATATTAAGCTTTTCAGCTTTATTTGTTCAAGTTAAGTGATGAGTGATACGTAACTGTAATGACAAATATTTTTGCATTGATTTGACCTGCTTCAAGCAAGCAATTTATCTCTGTTTTACCCAAAAGGGGTTTTGCCTCCCAGTCAGTTTGTATTTTGGAGAAGGGGTGGGGGAAGCATTCCCTTACCCCTTCTCCAAAATACAAACTTGCTATGTTTGGTGCAAATACAATTAAAGGCTGAAACTTTGATGATAATGCTTTGAAACAATGTTTCAAAAAGACAGCTATTGGGAGGAATTAAGGAAGTAAAATGCTAGAAAATTTAATATAGGAGGTAGAATTGTCTCATTATCCAGAAACTACAGGATATGTAGATTTTGTTTTTACAGTCTTTCATTAAAAGCCTTTTGTCATTTTGTAAGATTCTGCTGAAATAGAAATTTTCATTCATCTCTGTTCCTGGAGTATTAACATACTATTAGCACATTGTTTGCTTACAGATAGCTAGCTGAATTACTGTATTATTAGCGAGTTAAAAAAAGAGTCATACTATCCTTCTCATGTAAGTACAAAAAAGGGGCTGTTAGGTGCCTGAAGAAAATATCTTGCAGTTTATTATTAGTATAGGGATGTACTGTATATTTTCCAATGTAGAGCCATTTAAGAAGGCGACAATGGGATCAGAGCTCGTAAATGTACAGGGTAGTTAAAAATTTCTCAGTTTATTGATGAACATTACAATTTTTCCATTTGTGTTATTATTATACATATTGCATTTTATGCTGAAGGTCAAGGGGCTACAAGAAATTCCTGCTTTAAAACAACAATTTCTTATAGAAGTCCTCAACTGTAAATGCATGTTTATGTATTAGTCATAAGATGCATATAAAAAATAGGATCTACAGCTCTGATTATCTACAGCTGTACCAAAAAGCTGCAAAAAATATTCATCAGGCACTGTGTTTGTTAAAAATATTTATGTGTCTACTCATTGCAGCCCCCAGGCAGTTTTCAACTTTTGCAAACATTTCCATCAGTGTGACTGCAGATTATGTTCCATTAGTGATTATAGAAAATTCAGTGTTTACCGAAGACGATGACAAGTGAATGCAGTGGAGTGGCATATCCTAAATTTAATTTAATTTAATATAAAACGTGAATGGTTCTGATTGCAGTAACTTTGCAGAACTCAAGTTCCCTAATTTAAAACACTATTTTTTTTTAATATGATTTTACTTTATCATACGTTTTACTGTATTTTGATATATTTTATGCATTGCTATAACATATTTTTATAGTATATGTGTTTTAATTTTGTCATTTTCTTCTGCTTTTATAATTTCATCTGCATCATTTTACCATGTGAAATATGTGTAATGTATGATATGTGAGATCTGTTATTTTATTTTATTATTTGAATATTTAAACTGTTTTTATTGTTTCATTAATGTTGGTGCAGTTTGTTTACAGTGTTAGAATTCAGTAATCCAAACCCATCTCAATATTTAATTTTTATTTTTTCTTCAATAGAAAACCTTGCCATGGGAGTTTCCTTTGATAATGTTTTGGATGAAATGATGAATGGTGAAGCAGAAGTGAATGCAGAAGCTCTTCATCCTATAGATAACCCAGCTTTGCACAGTATGAAGAGATTCTTGTCAGACTGTTCTAATTATCATCCTGATGACATAGCAAGCGTAGAATTTTTAATCCAAGAACTAGAATTAAGCAGTGAAATGGCCACACTTTATTACAAGCCTCAGGGTGAAGTAGATGAAACCGGACATTTTGAAATTGATGATTTTATGATTATACTTATTTCCTCTTTTCAATTTAAGATGGTGGCAACATTTTATTCAGAAACATTTTGTATTGATGCTGTTATTGGAAAAAATTGGTATGATTATCAAGCAGTATCAGTTCTGACTGTTGATGAAAATGCAATTGGTTACCCATTTGCAACTTGTATTACAAACCGTACAGATGTTAAAGCGATGGCTCGTTTTTTTGAGAGTGTTAGGGTTAGTCTTAGCAAAGAACTCAAATGCAGTATTTTACTTACGGCTGATATACCTGCAATTGTCAATGCTTGGTCAGCAGTAATGGGCGAACCTAAATATCATTTACTTAACTCATGGCATCTAATTAAAAATTTACAAAAACATCTTGGAAAAATTAAAATTCCACAGTATCGAACACCTGTATTCCAGTATCTTCAGGTTCTAATTCATGAATCTAATACTGAACGTTTTGAAAAGTTATTAGTATGCTTTGAGAATGACTTGAAAAAAAATCCAAGTACTAGTTTATATTATGCTTACTTTCACAAGAATTATTTCAAACGTGTTAAACAATGGGCCTTATGTCATCGAGTAGAACTAGGCATAAAAACTAATAAACATTTTGAAGCTTTTCATGAAATTCTTAGGTATATTTATATAGATGGCAAAAAAAATCATCGATTAGACAATTATCTTAAAGCTTTGTTAAAATTAACCAGAGATAAGCGTTTTGACAGAAGGAGTATATCTTTAAAGAAAAAGCCTACTCAAATAAACATAATGCAGGAAAGTCATGCAAAAGGTAATTAATAGCAAAAAATAAAGTCACAATTTTCTGAAGGATCTTACAGAGTAGCATCTGAGCACAACAAATTATTCTATATTGTTACAAAAGAGAATGTTGATCATTTGACTTGTGATTTGACCTGTACAGCATGCAAAATATGCATTCATATGTATCGTTGTACGTTATAGATTATTTAGTGAATTTACTATCTGTAAACACATACATGCATGTATAATATCCACTTGGCCAGATGTTATTGTTCCTGAGAGTTGTGATGAAACATTTTGTGAAGTTAATGATGTTTCTGATGTAGTAACACTCCAGTTAAATGAGAAAGATATTTCCACAATGTCCCCTATTATAAATTTAGCTGGAGAAATAATAGTATCTTCTAATGCTGTAGCTGAAATAACAGAAGATTCCTATAATAAAGTAATTGAACATTTGAAAATAGCAAACAATATTCTAAAAACTGCAATAAGTGGAACACAGCAAATTCAGTCTTTAGTAGTGCCTAGTGTATCTGAAATCCCAGATTCTACAGGAGAAATAGAAGTTGCTTCCAAAAATATTCTAATGTATGATCACACATATTTTGTTCTTAATGAAAATCTTGGATGTTAATGTAATAAAAGATATTTATGTAATATTCTGTGCATAGGAAGAACTGAGCATTAAAAAATTTCTATATAATTAAACCATCTTATTCTTCATATCTATTTTTCTTACTTTAACCTTTTGAAGGGTGGTATATAAAATAATTTAAATTGTGGTAAAATTTTGCATGAACTATAACTTATGGACTCTAAGGACACAAAATTGAGACTTAAAAAAAATCTAGAGCAAAATCCTAAATTTGGAGAGCCGGTAAATATTTTATACCGGTACCCCTCTAAGACATTTTTTTTTTCCAGGTAGCTGCCAATTGTTAAGTTTTGTTTTTAAAATTAATTTTGCATTCTTTTGATGTGCATCTGTAGAGATGGGTGCTTGAATATGGTTATGTAAGTCTGAAGAGAAAAACTTTTAAAATTTCGGTAGGAATTTAAAATTTATTTTAAAAATAAAATTTATGTTTTTATGCACTTTGATGATTCAACCCAGCTGAACATACTTATGTAAAATATGGTGATTTAAATTCAATATATTATTTTATAAAAAAAAAAAATAGCAAATGTAACACTGTATGCGTAATTCGTATCATGCTGTAACCGAACTAGTATAATATTACAAGGAGATATAACAGCCAAAAAATTGAACAATGAAACAGTACGACTCAGATAAGAAAGTATGTTGCATTTTTGAAGTCAAATTTTATGCTTTAGATAATATGTAACAAAACCATGGTTCATGTTATGATACCAAGAATCACCCCCTCCCTGCTCCACACACACACTTTAGATTATCGAGGACCGTAAGGGCACCTTTTTTATTTTTTGTAAATATAGGTTCTAGTATATCTTTTTGTTCAGGAAGAAACATCGTTAAACAACATCATTATTTTATACACCTCAAAGCTCTTTCGATTTTCAACTCCTTTGGCTTCCTAGAGGCTCCTCTTCTACTTTTGGATAAATTCTAGTTTGCATCTCAAACGGGCCTTATAAATATTTTCCCTCATTTCACCAACTGTGAAATTTATTTCAAAAACAACCTATTTGTAACCTAACCCTAAATTTCTTTTGCACTCCTTAGTGTTTCATCTGAAATTAACAAAGACGATACGAATAAAAGCATGCTTTCATATCAGGAGTTTTTGTGATTACACTAAGAGATGAACCTTAAGTGCACTTTCATTTCTCCTATTTTTAAGTGAGCTTTCTCTTTGTATGATCTTATCACACTACACAAAGGGAAGAAGGCATGACTCTGGAATGACAAATGAGTTGTCAATCACCTCCTTTCATTTTCATTCGATTCTAGGATTTTGGAAAACATGAATCAACGGGTGTCTTTTGGGAGCTAACATGCCACATTTAACCTCTATAATTGTTTAAAATTTTGACCCCCAGACGGCAATTTTGAAATTGATGTCTTTCTCTTGGGAAAGGAGGAAGTGCTGAAGTTAAAATTTTAACTAAATAGAGACAAATGAAACTCAAGCAGAGTAAAAAAAGAATAAAAAGAAACAAATATACTTGTATTCAGTCCTAGTGCAGTGTCAGTAAACTCCGATCCCTTCAAGAGCATAATACTGAGTCCTAAACAACTTGTAAGTTAATCATAAACAAATTATTACATCATAAACTATTATAATGTAATGAAATGCTGTCATTTCACAGAGTACAGAAGGAGAAGCCTGGCACTGCCATCTATTGGCAAGGTACTCAGTAAGGGCGCCGGTATATAATATACCGGTATTAAAAACGTATATATAATCTTCTTTTATTTATCAGTTTTGATTGAAATGCAGTAAATTTAAAAGGTTCAGCATGTGTACGTCATACATTTACAGATTTAAAATTTTTTCTTTCTCTCCAATAGAATTTATCAATCTTCAAACATGATACCTTGGAACGATATATATTAATTTCATAATTGCAAAATATTTAGCATTCATTGGGTAGTATTTAGAATCAAAAGGAAACACTAAAAACTTAACGATTTTAGCTTTTGGTATAGAGAAATTAGCATTTTTTTTGGAGGTTAAAAAATTGACAAACAACCGTGCCCTTCAAAGGGTTAAAAAATAGATATGCAGCAATGTCAGTACTCCTGTTTAGATGTAAAACTAATGATTTTCAACCACACTGCCACCAGTACGATTTATAATAGGTATTTAACTTAAAAGGCTTAAAATTCTTGGTCTTAAAATCCTTAATAATCATTACGAGGCTAAGTTTAATATTTCATAAGGTGCGCTCAAAAATAAGATTTTTTAGCATCTGAAATAATTTAGTTCTCCCACCCCGCCAGGATTATCCCTTAAAGATAAACTTGGGTCATTTTGTCGGTGAAACATTGTGATCTACTTCATTGATGGAATAACAAAGCAAGGCAAATCTGAAATATCCAGTCAAGCAATATTACCATTGACCTGTTGTATATTAACCAATGAGCACGAAGCAAGATCAGGTTTAATTATTTATTTAAAGCCTTAAATAAATAATTAAACCTGATCTTCTTCTTATATCAAGGTTTTGAAAACCTTCATTCTTAAATAACATTAATTTCAGTAGTGTCTTAATTTTGTAAATAGTTTATGCTTAACTGACATCAACTATGCGTTAGTGGCGATGTATTATGGGATTGGTACCTAAAGACACAGTTTAGTTATTTTATACTTATTTAGTATTATTATTATAGATAGTAATGTTATGTTTACATTTTGTCTTTTTATTTTTGGAATGTGCCGTCCAAATGGTATAGTGGGTAGGTACTGTGGTACCAGAGGACCTGGGTTCAAATCGCAGAGAAGGTGTGGTTGTAACTGTCCTTTCCTTCATAAGAGGCAATGGTGATTTCCTGTCAGATGGCCACAACTTCTATCCTTAGGATTGGCCAGTGTTGAATAGGCAAGTACCTGCCATTGGAAAAAATGTTTCGAATGTTCGAAGTCCTATTCATTCTGACAAAGCGCGTACAGTCAAAAGTCGTTAATTCGGACACCCATAATTCGGAATGATCTATAATCCGGACCTCAAAGCTAAAAACTTTCTGCGCATGCGCCGCGTTGACACATGCGCATAGGCGTTTACGGGTGCGCGTAAGGCTTTTTACAACTGCACATATGAGTGTGCGCAAGCGCAGAATACATTTTCGCGTGCGTGCGCGTTTTATGTATAACGGACGGTATAAGCTAAAATTATCTAATTATCGATTTCAGTTAATGTTTGATGATTGCGTTGTTCCTTAATTTTCGAATTGGATCCGGCTTATTATTTTTTGCAGAGTGTAAGAACAATACTATAAAAGTAAACTTGAACTTTCGATTATGTCAAATAGAATTTCCGATTCTGGAGCTCCCAAAGGATGTACAAAACGAAAGTATGTTTCGATGTTCATCAAACAGAAATTGGAATTGCTGCAAAAAATGGATAAAGACATGAAGAATGTGACAGAGAGGTTAGTAAAAACAAAAAAATTTCGATTGACAAGTTAGTCGGTATTCTCGGCACAGCAATTAACGGGACTTGAACAGCGGAACTTTGTAACTGAACAAGAAATTATGTCTGTTTATAGAATTAAAGAGAAAGTATTATCACATAAAATGAAGCAACTTAAACAACTTGAAAGAAATTTTTATTAAAGTAAACAAATAAATATTAAGCTTTTTTTTTTTTTTTTTTTTTTTTTTTTTTTTTTTTTTTTTTTTTTTTTTTTTTTTTTTTGTTTTTTGTAAATTTTGAAACCTTTAGATCATAATTGTTCTTTATTTCATAAATTACGGTTTCATATTTTTAATTTTAGAATTTCTGCATCCCATCTTACGAGATTTAAACTGATGATCTATAATCCGGAATCGCCGAAGTCCCGACGAGTCCGGATTAACGACTTTTGACTGTATTATTGATTTAATTATCATCCTTCGAAGTCAGTGGAATTATCTTGAACATTAAGAACTATTTGCAGATTTACATGTGATGATTGAGAAAGTTTTTTTTTTCCCCTTCTGAAAACAAAACCTACTTTGTACACACAAATGCAGAGAAACATGGCAAAAAATTGTGATTGCAATAAGAAGTGGCTATTATGTGATTTTAATTCTTCAAAGGCAGAATTACAGAAACATTTTGAAAACTTTCATGATATATGTATTATAACTGAAGATTTGTTATTTCCTTCTTTTCAAGAGTGTTGTTTAGAAACATGGAACTTTCAGAATAAAAGTAAATGTAGGATAAAATATCAAACAAAACACAGCCCAGACAGGAAAGTGGTTACTGACTGTTGACTGCCATACTGAAGGGCCCAGGTTTGATCCATAGAAAGCGTGGCTGTGAATTGTTTGTCCCTTTATAGGAGGCAATAGTGAGCCACCTATTAGGTGCCTCCACAATAAAGTGAACACCGGCTAATACCTATGATTGGGGGGGGGAGATCTAACAAAACTACATTGGCAGTTAAATGTGAAAGGAGTTTAAATTGATTTAATTGTGTCTTTACAGAAACGTACTGCATGAATTTAAAGCAATTGGAAAAACAAGTACATTCAAGCAATATTAAAATTTATTTTTTAGGCCTATGACTATCTTTAATTTTTTTTTTTTTTTTTTTTTTTTTTTTTTTTTTTTTTTTTTTTTTTTTTCATGTGGAAAGAAATTTCTGTTAAAATTCCTCATCATCAGAACATTGCTGCACAATTGACTATTAATGGTTGTAGTCTGTATTTACTGCTTAGTGATAAAGTTTACCATGCTTTAATAATATGAAAAAATGTCTACTGTACATGCAGGAAGCATTAACCATATGCTGAAGCAGGACACTACTGGAATTTCATAAACTTTGGGAAATAGTTTAAAAATTTGCTCTTTTGCTTTTACTCATATATGAAAAAAGTAAAATATTCATGAATATCATCAAGGAAATGTGCATTTGCAGGGATATATTTTAGTTTCATTTGGCAGAAGACCTGATATTCTTAAAGATATGCACTCACAAGAATACAAGGAATATTTCTTGCA